GTTTTGAAAATTTTTGATCTCTCTATGGTAGCTTTTGTTATGTGAATGGTGCCACAGATCCCCTGGGTGGGTTGTACAGACCACCAGTTGGGAACCACTGCCTTAAGAGGGGGGAAATGTCTAAGAAGTCTTTAAATCAAGGTAACTTTATCATCTGAACTCTGTTGTTCATCAAAAGTCCATGAGTACTGTCTGAGCCAAGGTAGTCAAATGTGGTCGTCTCCAGCTCCCATCAGCTTAAGCCAATGGGATCGCAAGATCAAGGGTGGTCTTAGAGTGCACAATGTTGGCTACCTATAGCCTAAGCTAGGTTGTGCACCATGAATGTAAGGACAAGCAGTCAGCAAGTTGTTGACTCACAAAGTGCTCTACCATAAGAGAAAACACATACTAATTCGTGGCTAATACTGCTTCCTGTTTCGCCAACATACATAAAAGACCTCGTGTATGTTTCCATACTTTTTTCACGCAGCTTTTCTTTGCCCCCTGCCCCCCCCCCAAATCTTCTGCATTTATTCTACTTGTTTCTTCCATAAAGAAATTAATACTTTGTGCTTGGAAATTTAAACCAGAATGCAGAAAGATAAACCACATATTTAATCTAACATGAAAACGTGGTATAAAACAGGGGTAACAGAGGAATGCAGAAATCACTGAGCTTATGTAGGAGTTCATTTTTCCGCACCCCCAGTTGAAAAAGCTGTTTCCATTTAATAAGGCTGCAATCCTATAGCCACTTACCTTTAACTCATTGAGGCTTATTTCTAAGTAGACATGTATAGGATTGAACTGTACTTTTATTTTGGTAGTAGAGCTTTATGGCAGCGGCCGGATGGTTAAGTGCTCTTGAAAAGTAATATAAAAATGATCTAGCAGTGCTTCAACTATTGCTTGAATGGGCTATTTGCTTTGGGTCTGTCCTTCTGTGAAGGTTGGTGTGATTTCTGCCTCTTGATGTTGCCAGCAGGGTAGCTGAGCATTTCCTAGGTATATACCCCAACTGCATTTGCCACTCTGGCCTCATGAGAGAACAAATGGGCATAAAGCTTGGCACACTGAAGAAATGAACTTGTAGCAAATGTGAACATTTCATGATCCCATCTGAGACGGTGGACGAAGCTGCCCTAGTCATGCTTCCATATATTTAGATTGGTAGCTGAATTCTATTCCTTAAATGGTATATAATTATAATCTAAACTATACACTTGCACTCCGAAAACCAGAGTTATTGCTTAGACCACTTAATATAGAACAGCTTAAAAGTCTATACTCCTCCTTCCTCCTCCTCCTCCAGAATGTGAACGGTATAAAATATCATGCCAAGAATGGCCACAGAACACAGATACGTGTGCGGAAGCCATTCAAATGTCGTTGTGGGAAGAGTTACAAGACAGCTCAGGGTCTGCGGCACCATACAATCAATTTCCACCCACCAGTGTCTGCTGAGATTATCAGAAAGATGCAGCAATAACATGCTGGTCACATATGTGCCAAGGAATCCTCACCAGCAGTTGCTGATTCTGAAGACAGCCACCTTCTCTGGGGAAGCATTGAGCAACCCCGTAAAGAATTTAAATTGCATGCTTTACAATTTTTTCTGTAATTTTGGAATGATGTATCTTTGTAGAGTTAATGATTTTGTACATTTGCACATGTAATCATCATGCCCATATACGTTAGTTTGATATAAAGGTGCTAAAAGCTACAGGTTTTCTGAAGTATTTCCCTCCCCCAAAAAGGAGAATTAGGGTATGCTGTATATTTAGTTGCTCTGCAGTGTTAAAATAAGAATGGGGAAGGGGAGGAGGAAAGCTTGGCACTGAGAACTTCAAGATTGTAATGTGATTGAAGAAATTCGACACATCAGTTCCCATGTGCTTGCAAAACCAAAACAATTCCCCATTATCCACCTGGTTAATATGCCTTATGTAATAGAGATATCTGTGGGATAGGAAGGTTTTAGGTATTGGAATTATAAATAAGAGAATGTTTAACATATGCTAAAAATATTTTCATACTCAGATAACATACATAAAAGGTGTGCTTGCTGTATTTTATATTACCTTGCAAATTCTTTAGCTCTCTGAAATGCTGAAAATCTTTGCATTTGAACTAGTAAACCATTCATTCTAGCATTAGAATTCCTACTCCTGTCTGTAAAGGATGCTATATAATGTTTAAAAGACCCACCATAATTCCAGAAGACCAAGTTTTCCTGGTCTCGTTCTTCTTTAATATCTACTACTAGAAGACATTTGGAAATAAAGTGCAAATTTGTGAGGGAGAAATTATCTTCATCTTAGATGAAGTTCTTAAAGCACTTTGTAGTTCTCGATTGCCAACAAATTTAAATGTTTTATGTATTGCCAACTCTTGCAACCCCGTACTAGTATGGGCCAGTGGTTGCAAATAAAAAATTCTAGGATGTTTTAATGAGGTACATTATTTGTGTTAAGGGAGTTTCAAGTTCCATTTACATTGTACCTTCAGATTTTTGTATATATAATATATATTTTCTAACTAACTTACTGTGGGTTGTTGCATTCCACAAGTTTAGCATTAAAAGTTTATTTCTGAACTATGAGACATCATGAGCCTTACTGAAATGAAGTGCTTCTTGAATCAGGTACTCGATGATAGATCTGATAGATGATAGATCTATCAGAGAGATACTTGTGTCTGGACCATACCTGAATGCTTTGTTTATTTGATGCTCTCCTGCCTTCATTATTGTCCTCTTGTGTAAGTGAAAGTTAACAGTTTAGGTAGTATGCAAAGCTACAGGTTGTATCCACTTATGTCAAACTTGGAGTAGACCCAATGACCCCAATTCACTTTAGTCATAAGCAACTTACATCCCTCATTCCATTGCGTCTACTCCAACTATGCCAGTTGGATACAACCCTACATTATTAAAACTGAGAGGTTGTCGCCCTCATGAGAAAAAGTTAAGTTTTAAAGGTAATCCTCTTCTGTGTACTTAAGTATTTATATATGTATATTACATGGGAAATGCAAGTCTTCATTCTTTTAGAACAAATAAGCCCTTGCCCCTCGATCTTTAATTTTTTTTTTTCAGAACTTCTGAATCTCTCATAATGAGGGTCAAAAAGAATTTCAAACAAGGCCTCTTTAAAAACAAACCACCATATTCAGAAAAGTACATTCTATAGCCCATGTAAAGCAGCCTTCTGCAACCAGGTGCTCTGTAGATGTTTTGAACTGCGCCTGCCCTCAGCCAGAGACCGATGGGTGTTGGAATCAAAATCACCCAGAGTGCACCAGGTTGGGAAAGGCTGGGGTAATGGTTGACCCAGACATAAGAATCTATTGCTTGCACTCAAAGCTCTACTACACAGCATCTAATGTTTTACTTCAGTGTCCTTCCGCTCTGCTCTCAGTAAATGAAGGCAGGCTAACCCTATTGAACAGATAAGCAAAATGTTGCATGTCATTCCCTTTTCCACTATTACAATCAACTTGCTCTTTACCTAGTCAGTGTGACAGTATTAAAACAGGTAAAAATGGGACTATTTTGTTATACTGTGTATAGTGAATGTATTGTACTGTGTCTGTGATAATGTGCTTTAAATTATATTTTCCTATATTTTGTTGGGGACAAAGTTCATTAAGTTTGGAAGTCACAAGAGGTTTGTTTTAGAACTAAGCACCACAAAGTGTATACCATTTTCTTTCCATTAAAGCTGCTTATAATGTACATTGAACCACATTTAATAAATTGCCTCCGACCCAGAAAAAAAATTAGATGCTGCTTCATTATCTTCCATTGCTTTGATCTGTAAAGAGCATGCTGTACATTACCCAAATCATACAAGAGATTTGCAGTTTAACAAGACTGAGATAGTGGTAAAACAGTAACGGTATCGGATGATATGGTTGCTGTTAAAGCTGGTGGCACTAACTGAATCAGTTAGGTGGGCAGGCTTGCAAAAATCTCAATCAGGACTGGTTTTTATTATAGTCATAAGGCTGTAAGGTTGTAGATTTCCTCCTCTTCTCTTTCTAGACTTGGCCAGTGTTTTCTAATCCAAATTCCCATCATAACTAGGAAACAATTGGCAAACCATTATTATGTGTAGCTTGGTGCGAAACAACATTCTTGAGCTAGGAAAGGAAGGGGTAATGGGATCCGTGCTAGTCCATGGCCTGCTCTTGCTTAGCTACGCTTGAGACAGATTGGATCACTAACCAAGATAACTTACTCAGAAAGTGAAATTCTAGAAGAGACAAACACATCACAAAAATACTACACATTTTTCTCAGTAGCAATGAAGTCTTAAGTAAACAATGGCTTAATCCCAAGACATTTTCATTCCCACAGGGGACATTGGCAATTTCTCCATCTGCAACCCCCTCTGCCCCTAAAAAAAAAAGCTACAATGGAGGCCATGTCAGTCACAACTGAAGGAGCTTCAGAAACACACAAGGGTGCCAAATAAAGACTCATGATCGATATTTAGTTTTTGTCTTTAATTTGACTATTGTACAACAGATGGAAAAGTGAACTTTATCCAAAAGGATCAAATTACTTACTAAAGTTTAAGCTTCAAAAATATAGTGTTTTAAATATACACACCACAAATTTAATGGGGAAAATGTGCAAAGCAGAATGCAGAAGATTCTAGAAATCTTAGTCCCTATGAACACAACTTGCTAAAAACAATCCAGGAAAAAGGAATGGGGGTGCTACATAACACATGTTAAAAATCTGCTGAATACAAATGAAGCCTAATGGTAGAAATTTTTATACAATTATTTTCTAGCAGACCTAAATGCAGAACTTTTAACAGATTACTAGTGTACTTGACATTTGCAAGAGATAATAGTTATGCAAAAGTGAATGTTGCTGCAAGGATGTTGTGCAAGCATGTGTCTCAAAGCAACTACATTTCTGACAGAGATGTAAAAAACTATATATTTGTTGGATAAATTATGTTAAACTTTCAGAATCAACAATCATATGAAGGATACACACAAGATTACCGAGAAACCTCATTTTATTATCATGGAATGAGAATTTTAATATCTAATCATAAGCAAATACAAGAGCAAAATCAAGTCATTCTGTACACTTGCCACTACTACAAACTCGACTTAGGAGGTTTCTGAACAAGTCTGTGCATTTCCTGTGTTCTTATGCATTTTGTCAGCCAGGGAATAAATACTGATAGATATTATAACAGTTCTGGATGTATGCTAGATCAAAGAAGGCTAGCCCAATACTTGCTAATAGGCCAAAGCACTGTACTGAAAGTAGCCTTTAAACAACACGTTATGACGGCTGTGTACTCTTCTCTTACAGAATTCGCTCATTCAAGTTTTGCCTAAACTAATCTGCATTCAGATGCCTCAAACTAGTCAAAATTCAAAACATTCTGATCAAAGTGTGTTTGTACATGTCTTTCAAAGCTCTGCTGGTCATAGTCAGGAGGGAACTGTTCGCTGCACATGGGGCACACCTTCCAGTGACTCTCAACATGTTCTTCAAACTTGCTCTGATCATAGTTAGGAGGAAACATCACTTCACAAAGGGGACACTTCTTGATGTGCACAAAACTTGGGATAAAAGAGGAAAGAACAACCATTTGAGTTCTTCCATTGCCAGCATTCCCTGTGGCACCCCTAAATCGTGGAATTCTTTCCCACAGGTGTGTGAGACACCTATTATGTAGTTTACATACTGTTTTTAAATTGCTGTAACCTGCCCTGAGATCTCATGGTAAATGGCAGGTAAGAAATCTATAATCATAATTATCACTATTAGCATAGAAAGCCTTCCCGCCCCCAATCTTGCAACTGAATTTTGATACTTGCATGCCCATCCAGCTTAACAAAGTTGTTTTCCACAGGAATAAAGCACATACCCCCAACAATTTTTAGTTTTTGTGCACTGTCTCCTTTTAAATGCCTCAGGTATATGATCTCTTTACTGCATATAAAATGGAGGAAAGCAGGGATTGATGTGTCTTTAAAATGATTATTAAAAAAACAACCAAGCTGTTAACAGTCTGCTGTAAACAGAGCCTCCAAATCTAACTAGACAATTTAGCTTTTGTCGCAAATTAAAACCAGCCTGAATAATTAGTGGGAGTGAATCATTCAAGCCTGACTCATATTTGAGAAAATACCTCCAACAAACTCTTTCCTCTTTCCACTTCTACAGCTAGAACAATGTGTACCAAACTGAAACTGCAGTCTTTTGTTTTGTTTTGTTTTAAAAATGTATCACAAAATAGTGGTGGTACAGTAGTACCTTGGCTCTCTAACGGCTTAGCTGTAGAACAAATCAGCTCCCAAATGTCACAAACCCGGAAGTGTTCAGGTTTGCAAACGTTTTTTGGAAGCCAAATGTCCAATGCGGCCTCCGCAGCTTCTGATTGAGTGCAGGAAGCTCCTGCAGCCAATTGGAAGCCATACCTTGGTTTTTGAATGTTTTCGGAAGTCAAACGGACTCCCGGAACAGATTAAGTTCGAGAACCAAGGAACCACTGTATTTGTAAAGGGGGAAGGAGTTGTGTAACTGATCATGTAGCAAACAGTGCTCAAAGGGAGTCTTTGACACTCATGTAACGTGAGTGCAGGATGGTGTGCAACAATGCAGGATGGGGTCAATGCACACTTCACATTTTCAAGTTAAAAAGTTGTGATCCAGAGAACTGCTTAGGCAATAGCATGAGACATTGCCCATCCCAATGGAACCTTTCATTTCTGTCAACATGCCATGATAGTGGAATGTTGCAGGAAAGTGTAAAATTTAAATGATGGTTCCAGCATTACTATATGCCTGACACCACTTTCACCCACAAGAAACTACCTTACCTGGAATCAAAACAAAAGCCTGTTCCACGTTCTTGTAAGCCGAGGTTTGGTGGCTCCGGAGCAGAAGGTGCGCTTGCCTCATCATCCTGAAAGTAAAACGGTTGGCTTTTTATCATATTTTGGTCAAAAGATTTGTAACATTCACAAGCTTCTAAAAAATCTAAATACCACCCACCAAATATATATATATATATAGAGAGAGAGAGAGAGAGAGAGAGAGAGTGCTAATGTATTTCTCTCAATCAACTGACAAATCAAAAATTCTTCATTCTTATTCTTCACCCCAATAAGAATAGCTGGAGCCTAGGTACAAACAAACCCTCTTTGAAATAAAGGCGCAGGGCACTATATTACGCCAAAATTTCATTTCATATACTGCTAAATTTTAAAAAAGTTCAAATGATGAAACATTTATCTGCAAGAAATACAAGAGGTGGGAAGAAGTCATTGATTTGGTGCCACAAGAGGACTTCTTCCCAATGACTAAGTTTTTTGAGTGGGCCAGGTGTCCCACTGCAGCCTATCAAACAAGTCACATATGTCACCTTGCAGTCAGGCCCAACTACTACTGAATTATCCTATCTGGCTGGCTCCTCTCATCATCACTGTCAGCTGTGCTCGTTTCATGAGCACCAACAGCACATAAACAGCTGCGGCTGGCACTAGTAAGATCACTACACCAAGGCATGCCCTAGAGCTTCTAGCAGAGAAAGCTTTTAAGAACTCTATAAAATGTATTCCTGTGCTCAAGTAATTTCAAATTTCAGCAAATCAACATGAATATATAAATGCTCTAGCAATACCACATTTGAAAGAGGATTTGAGGTGTTTTCTTTATTTTTGCCTGTTTTGCAAAACCAATTACATGGAAACATTTGCGATGTAACTAGCAATAATTATTTTTTCAGATCAACTAATAGGATATAAAGGCTTGTCAATATTTTTCCTGTTTGCTCCAACCCAGGCTTCCTCAACATTGGCCCTCCAGATGTTTTTGGCCTACAACTTCCATGAACCCTAGCTAGCAAGACCAGTGGTCAGGGATGATGGGAATTGTAGTCTCAAAACATCTGGAGGGCCAAGATTGAAGAAGCCTGCTCCAACCTGTTACAGGTGTTTATTACCCATATAAAAATGTTATGGCAGCAGCTAACAAATTAGCAAAGTATACTATCCCAGATATACTTTTAGAGATAATCCACAGAATGCTATTCCAGATATACTTTTATCATTCACATAAACTCAATATTGGCAATTTGGTGCATGCACTTAAGCCACTATTCAGAAGACACTGACGGGGGATTTGAGCATACATTCACAGGCCGTACATCTGATTAACAGGTTCTTTACACTAATAAAAAAAAAGTGAAGGGATTGCAGGTATTTTATGTATGTGCATATCCCCAACGATGTTAGGTCTTACATGTGATAGAGGACTCCATGCATACCTGCTATCCTATTGCAGCAAATGCAGCAGGACTGGGATTAACTGCCTAGGTTCAAGCACACAGCGCATACGTAAGCACATTCTGACTTAGGAATAGATGTCAACACCAGCATACAGAAGGGAATACAAGATTGCACATTTTTTGTGTGCAGGATACTTGCATGCATTCCACTGATGCTTCCACTTAAATAAAAAGGAAGCAACCAGGCAGTTTATCTGATCTCTTGATAGCTCATTATGCTAGATGCTCTACATCTAATAAGATAAATTTCCTGCCACAAACTGCTTAGTATGCTTACTTCTGAAGGGGTATTTTGATATTAATCTGCTCCTCTCTATAGGTGCCTGCCAAGCATTTGTAGGTAGTTAGCAAGTGCAAGGTAGTTAGCATCCTATTTCTTCTGTCTGAACATCCTTGCTGGGAACAATTAAGTGATCTTCACTTGACAAGCAGGAAAAGTAGGATGATAAGATGTTAAAACTTCTATTTGATGTAAGACAAGAAAAATCTTCTGTGAACAGGCACACACCTGCCCAAAGTTGGTTCCCATTTGAGCATATTAGGATCCTTCTACCTCATTACCAAATCTAAGCTGTGTCAGCAAATGAGCACAAGACTTTAGCTCTGTTCCTCTTGGGTTTGCGAGAGGGCAAAGCACATAGATTAGAAAGAACACTCTGCTAATTAAACTGCAGTGGATGACTAAAGAAGAGAAGGGCTTGTCATCTGTAATGTCTGTGCCAAGAACGATCATATTAAATATGCAAAATGTGAAGTAAAGGTAAGGAAGAGCACTAAGCTCACATCCAAGACCTTAAATAGGCCGCAAAAGTTCTGACAGTTTTCTTAATTATTCACAGTAATGGACTCAGGGGGCAAAAGGCAGGAGGAAGAGATACATTTTTCTCCATTATAGGTACTGAGCACCAGGGCTAAAATCATGCCTGTCTGAACACGGATCAGTTTCTGCAAAGGTTAATAGCAATTAAATGTGGCAAACTAGACTAAATGAGAAGTAGGTCGTGATACCACTATGCTTGCAAAGAGCATAGGACTTTGTAAAGAAATGTTTCTTATTCAAGTGTTTCTTAAAGTTAAAGGGAGCAAAAAACTGTGCCGTGCACTTAACAGCATTGTTTACCATAGTTTATTGTATCTCATGTCCTAAATATTTTACATCTATTACGTATTACATGGGCAAGGGACTATAACCACAGTTTGAAGCAGGAATTCCATAATGAAAGTAACTTTTACATTATTGACGAGACTTCCAGTATTGGGAAATACCAATTGTCTTTTGCTAATGTACCAGGAAATGCAGAAAGGAAGCACTCTGCCAGATGACCTACAGCCACAGGCGGGCTGCACTTCCTGTACTTTCCAGGAAGTACCTAATGGCAAGAGGGAGACCAATGTGGCTCCATACATCAGCCAGTGGAAGTGCAGCTACTCAAATACTTGTTTGCCTCTTCCTTCCCCATTCCCTTTTCCTTTTCTACTGTGTCCATCAGATTGTCAGGCTGCAGGTACAAAATGCTGTATTTTAACTATGTACAGCACTTAGAAAAATGTAGGTGATTTATAAGCATGTAGTAGTCGTAATATAACATCTATTTAAATGTTTGGTAATATTAGCTTCCAAGTATTATTGTTTCAAAAACATCCCTATTGGCATTCACCTTTATGTCTACTACTTTTATTCCCATTTCCAACCTGAATTTCCAATGAAACCCCTTCCAATTAGGATAATTTAACACGGTTAACCCAGTGCACGTTACAGCTACAGCTAAATGGATAAGTAACTATGTGTCAATGTGTGTTTTGTCAAGTGAGCATAGCCCATAGATAATAATTAGTAACAGCAACCGTGGTGCAGAGAGGAGCAGCCGAGGTCTATGAACAGAAGTGTATGAACAGGCAGGGGTGTGTATGCATACATTTAGATGGGGTCAGTGACTAGAAGGAACTAGCTGTGACCAAAATTTGTCATTTGGTTAATCAGAAAGAAGCATCTCCTCTAGAGAAGAAATTTTCTTAGTAAGTTTGTGAAGGGAAAGCTTGTACCTCAAAACTCAAGAAGGGCAAGAAGTTACTTTATTTCTCACTTACGTTACTATCCTCAGGATCTTCTAAACCATCAGGCCGGCTGAGGTTGCGGGCTGGTTGGCTGCACACTACATTGTCTTCAAGTTCCCAAGCGGGCGCTCTTACAGGTGGCCTTTGGATCTCATCAGGGTAAAAAGCACCATCTGCTCCATCTGCAATCACAATCAGGCAATGAACTCCAAGTGGCATATAGCACAGAATTCTTAAAACATACTCAAAAATAATTTCTCAAGCGTTTAATAAGTAAAACAGACAACTTGGACAGAGTGTAGGTGAATGAATTCTCTTTTTAAAAAAATAAACCTCTTCCTCGTAACACAATATATGTTGATTGTAACCTTTAAAGACTATTGACCAAAGTTAGCTTACTGACTTCATTTGCTCGGAAGTGTACATTTCCATTTGGAATTCTTCAGTGAAAACAAAAGCCGGTGAGAATAGTTTCCAAACCTCTTGTTTCCTGGGCTGTATAAGGGTTTCCATACTGCAGGACTGGTAACCGAGTTGGCACAGCAGGAACCTGTCCATCGTCCCCTGAAGTAAGAGCAGTATTGAGAAAATATACTGCATGCTGAGAAATCTGTCCTTCGGTGATTCTGTCAGTTTGATTTTCTGGTCTCCTTCCAGGGCTCTAAAGAGAAGTGGGAAAAAATTATGTACAGGCAAAAATAACCCATCTAAAGTCTGCAATAAAAGATAGCCTAAAAAAAATCTTCAGGCTTACCTGAAGCTGCCTTTGACCACTGGGTCCAGCTAGCTAGTTATCTATACTGACTGACTGTAGCTCTGCAGTTTCATACAGGTTATTTTCCCCATCCCTACCTGTAGATTGAACCAGCACTAGGCACCTTTCCCGTGACCTTTTTCATATTTCTTACACAAACTGCCATTAGTTTCATGTTATGAAGATGACTTTAAACAGATTCCATAAACGTTTGCCACTTGAGTGGCATTCATTAACATGGACAAATTAATGCACTGTTTCAATTACAAAAAAAACCTGAGCTAAATAAACACCAGTTATGATTATTCTTGGAAATCTGTTTGTGCAAAGCACATACGTGAACTGCTAAGAATACCATTGCAAGAACACTCTCCACTGTGCTGTGCAAAACAATCAGGCTTGATACATGACCTCCAATTGACTTGAATGGCTTAGCAGCAGCTGTCACAAATGTGTACTTGGAGTGAACAAAATACACTGCAGGATTTGTGGACATTTGAATCTAAATGCCTACTCGCTCAACTCTAGGTGACGGAACAATTTCAGGACTAGACCACTGAAGGCATGTAGAGGACTGACACTAGTCATTAGCATGAACTTAGGAGGAGGGAAATGTACCACAGTATTGACACATGTAGATGCCAAATAGCCAAAAAATTTAACTCTGCCCTAAAATAAGAGAACACGCAGGCAGCTGTGTTTCCGCATGCAAATGTCACAAAAAGTATGCTGGCAGTTCTATATAGCAATGTGTGCAGCAAACTCGGCCCTCCAGATGTTTTGGGACTACAATTCCCATCATCCCTGACCACTGATCCTGTTAGCTAGGGATCATGGGATTGTAGTCCCAAAATATCTGGAGGGCTGAGTTTGCCTACGCTTGGTGTGCAGCTTGAATATATATGGCCTTCATCCCTTCCATGCAACATTCCTGGGCACATCAGAAGAGAGAGGACTGTCAATGACAGATATTATGGGTTTGGTTACTGGTTCTATAGCTGTATTTATATTAGCTACTGAACTAGGCAGCTAAGGCCAGAGCTTACACTTCCTACACATATTGGGATGAGACCATAGAGAAGCTCTCCTGATCTTTTTTCAACTAAAGGAAAGCATTCCTGTGGGTGAAAAGCAAGCTGCAATGTCTGCTTTCTTTATCAACATCTACTCAAAAGTGAAACAACTATTTTATGAATGAAAACGGCAAACAGGATCCTGCACAGACAAGGTTTTCTGTCCTTTTCATTTGTTTAGAAAGCCGTCCTTATCTAAAAGATTTACTGGTTCTAAGTAGGCACCGAATAATCATAAAATGAAAGACCCAATGCCACATGAATGTTTATCTGGTTTTGTGATATCCTGGTGACTGAACATCTTCAATTCCACTAGAAGGCCTGTAAGCTCAATTTGCTTTGTTTTGCTCTGGAAAGTTGCCAACACTTAAAGCATTACAGAACTCTATTTCCTTGTTATATGTTCTAGTGACTAAAACAACTCGACCACAAATCAGATAGCTACTATTTGGGAGCCTCCCCAGAGCCAAATTATTTTGTTTTAAGTTAATACCTTGAAACCTAGCTGGATGTAACAAACAAGAAAAATAAGGAGTAACATACATAAAGCACAGCTGCTTTATTTCCCAAGTCAAAACTTAAGAAGTTCCATATAAGATTAAAGTGACTGGAAAATTTTAAGAAATCAAACAAGGACTGCCCGAACATTTCTTAGATCCACAGATTTTAAAGTTGATAGTCCTAGCTGTGTGTTATTGTTTATCATAACAAAAGGGTATTTGAACATTACAAAGATATCATCTTTATGGAAGTATGCAGTACAACAATTCTTTTAAGTTTTAACGAACCTAAATAAAAATGGTGTTTTGATAAAGCTAAGCAGAAGAGAATCATCTTAAACACACAGTTCCAACAATGGTGATTGTACTTAAAGGCTTTTGTTCAAGTATCTATGCATTTCCAGAAAAGACTAGATTGTTAAAAGGTTAAACAGAGTGCATTCTATTGCCTCCCAATTTATATTCCATTATACATTTGTTTACAAACTTTACCCAAGAGGAAATGCTAAACACATTTATTTCTGCTATCCTCAAACCTATAAAATTACTTAGTCCCCATTTATACATAATACTTAGCCTTTGATTTTTCTGTAATCCCTAAATCTAGTTAACATATGGGTATGATTACTCCTTAGTTCCTTTTAGAATTAATTTGAGATACATTTTATTTTTAATCGTTATTGTTTAAATTAATATGGAACTGTCACCACTCATTAAACACTAAACACAGTGCATAAAGAACTGCTCAAACTTGGGCAACAGATAAATCCATCTAGGATCAGAAGAACACCATCCAAAAAACCAAACATTTCTACCTATGTATGTATTGGGGCTGTTTCTGCTCCTTATACTGTACAGTGGTACCCCGGGTTACATACGCTTCAGGTTACAGACTCCGCTAACCCAGAAATAGTGCTTCAGGTTAAGAACTTTGCTTCCTAATAAGAACAGAAATCATGCTCCGGCGGCACGGCAGCAGCAGGAAGCCCCATTAGCTAAAGTGGTGCTTCAGGTTAAGAACAGTTTCAGGTTAAGAATGGACCTCCGGAACGAATTAAGTACTTAACCCGAGGTACCACTGTACGAGATAGTATAAGGAGGCAGGAATTGTTAGTGGATTGTGATCAGCCTCTGAAACCCTTATAAAAATGTAGAATATCTTTAGACAGCACATTTGGTTTCTCACATTACAGTATAGAAAACAGTCCAGAGAACTATTCTCATCTCAGTTATTTCAATGCTTTATGCATTCTTAACTTTATTTCAACTGTATTTGAATTCATTTCTTCCTTGTTTCACATAATGCAGTTTGCAACCAATTACAAATTCTGATAACTATGGCCTTTTCTAAAAACTATTGGCTGGGAAAAACCTGCACTGAAGCTACTCTCTCCATCTTACACCCACACACCAAAGATTAGCTGCAATTTTCAAGGGGTACATTTGAGATGGGGAAAAGGAGCACTTAAGAGCTGGCCATGGTAATGGCAAGTCTTTCCCCTCTCCGTCTTCTTTTTTTGTGGCAGGGCAGACCTTTTCCTTAAAGAGAAACACCTTTGCAAAATGTCATTATCAGAAAAACATTATCAGCCCTCTGTGGAAGGCGGCCACCGGCACACCATCATTCTGCAGAGAGCCATAGAATTCTGGGATAAGAGAGGCATTTTGCAAAGTTCCTGTTTTTTGTTTTCAAAAAGAACGGACATGGTGGTGCTACAAGCAGCATTTTTACAAAGCTTTTTAAAAAGCTCTATAACACCACAGCAAGTTTTATCCACCTGTGAAAATTGCTAACCTCTTCTCCCCCACCACCTCAATTTGCCATCTACGAAAGGTCTGGTGAACAGGGGTGGGACATTTCAGTCCAGCCCTATACTGGGTATGGCACGCTAACGACTGCCCTGCCTTCTCACAGTTTGCACAGCAAAGTGTCTTCAGATGGTCAACATTTAAAAGTGAAATGACCGTATTTTCACCTCAAACTTTTGCTGATGTACAAAGACCTGAACAACATGGGTCCTCAAGGAGTGCCTGAGCCCTATGTTCAGGTTCGATCACTGTGATCATCTAAAGCAGCACTGTTAATATTACAGAGGCCCAACTGGCTTAAACCAGAGGTCAGGCATTTAGTGCTGCTGGCCTTATGCTGTGAAACACACTTCCAGCAGAGATTCAGAAGGCATACTTGTTTTTGACCTGCAGACATCTCTTGAAAAATTCATGCTGACTGCCCCATGCAGTTGTTTTTCCTGAGTAACCAATCATTTTAATATATCTTTTATACATTTTTTGTTTTCATGTTGCTATACCTTCCCTAATATTTTGTGAAAGAATGGTACATAAACACTTCTATAAACTCTAATTGAACACTTCCCATAGCATGTTTTTGCTAACAATTCCTGGTTTCTATAGGCAGCCTTCCCACTCTTGAAGCAGCTTCATTTGCACAGCAACAGCTCCAAACAATCTCCAATGGAAGCAGCTCACCAACTTATAACATTCAATCAGTACCTTTTCTCTGCTGAGGATTCCCAAATGGGATGTCAGCTCATTTATCTGTCTGTCCTTTTCGGCCAACTGCACCTATTTAATACAGAAGTTCAAACAAACCATGTTAGGCAATGCACAGCAGTTCCTCACCTATACTTATAATGAAATTTTCTTCTGATTAAAGATTGCAGTCTGATGTTCCGTAACAGCATAAATTACACACAAATAATCATTTACATCACTGTTACAGTTGTCAATAAAGTTTTGATCAGCAGCAGTGCAGACTCAAGTCCTTCATTTGGCCAACAGATTGTGGTATCAATTCCTCCATCTACTAAATCAGTCTGTTCAACTGGGTTTTCATGCACTTCCCTGCTTTTTTGGATAATTCTGCTGTCACCTATCAGTTTCTAAAATCTTGTCAGGCCCTTAAGGTGAAAACGTAGCAACCTTTCATGGGACTGGAGAGTGGGAAGGAGCTTTCTCTTCCAATTACTGCAAATGAGCTGGATTCTCACAATCCCTCTCCTGCTGTTTTCAACCAATCTACGTCACACACAAAATTACACAGCAGCCCTTTGGACAATATGAAGCTTGCAGTTCTTGCATGGGAGGCAGGACCTGACAAACCTCTCTCCTCATCCCTTTATTTCATTTGTGTGTAACTTATGCTGTTACGGAACATTGGACTGCAAACTTTAATCAGAAAAAAATTGTAGAGCAGAAGACAGGGAGTAACAGTGAGTAGGAAATATTGCCATGGGAATGTGGTATGCACATGCTGCAGAAAGAAATCTGTCTCTGGAGAGGAGGAATATAGGTTAAGAGAGCAGAGCAGTAATGCTGTTAATACGTTTCTGCGGATGAGGAATAGGTGAGTAGATTGAACCTCCTTTCACTTGCTGGCAGAGTTCTGGCGAGGAGGGGTGTAACCCCCGTCTTAGAGTACTTTAGTTAGTGTTCAACTCTATCAGACAGATTTGGCTCAATTTAGGAAGTGATTCTTCATTTCCTCCCCCTTCTTCAAAATGGAGATGCCATCTGACTCTTTAACCTTAGGTGTGGGGGCAAGATTCAGTTCTTGGCAATAAAGGCACCTTGAATATGCTTAAGTACTATTAATCACCAAAAGCAGAAACTAATCCAACTGGTGCACCATGTAAGAACTATACATTTTCATTCTCCGGGTCAATTTTTCTACCACTAGAAAGAACCATGTTGATTTGCGAGTAGAATTTTCAGGCTTCATGGTATAATGCTGAAAAGGGTAGCTGCTAACAGTACAATCACATATGCTACTATATACAATCAACCTCTATTCCAGAGTACAATACTGCACAGTTAAGAAAAAGCTAGCATATTCAGCCAATAATATTTCCAGGAGAAATAATGCGCAACAAAAATCTGAGTCAACAAAGCTCTTCATAAAGTGAATTATTTTTAATTAACAGCTTTCTACAATGCATTTATTTTAAGACCCTTATGATCAGCAGCTAATCTCTGTTTATTATTGTATGTCTTTAAATGTTTAGGTACTACTGTTAAAAGAAGAGTCAGACTTACTAGATACTGGTCTTCTACTGCTGCCAGCTGTTGCTTCACACTCTCACTAATTTTCACTTGCTCCTTCCATTTCAGCTCCAACTTAGCCAGTTCATCAGCATAGACACTGCATTTCAATTTCTCATCCTGCAGATAAAATTATTAGTCAAGATTTCATAACCCTGCAGATTTCACTGGCCCTTTCACATGCACTGCAGCTTTCCTCATTTGTTATCCAATCATATTGGCTCCTATTTTGCTGGCCTAGATAAAGAATCAAAGCAATGAAAATGCTTCTGTGTGATTTAGTATTTTTCTCCACAGTTCTTTTGAGACATAGCTGTTTATGTCTCTATAAAAGTTGTTTCATTTTGGGAGGGGGGGCATTACAAATACACTCCACAAAGCTTTGCTACTATCAAGAATACCTTACATTCAGAAGGCCAAAGAGAATGCACATTACACTCCAATACACAGCAGAGCCGTTTATGAACCAAATTCTAAGGAACTAGTAAAGCAAGCCGGGGTGGGGGAGAAATGTGAACATGTTACCTTTGCGGGTAGAAGAACTGATATATACAATTCATCAATTGGTACCAGCTATTTAGACGTAAAGGGACGCGGGTGGCGCTGTGGGTAAAAGCCTCAGCGCCTAGGGCTTGCCGATCGAAAGGTCGGCGGTTCGAATCCCCGCGGCAGGGGTGCGCTCCCGTTGTTCAGTCCCAGCGCCTGCCAACCTAGCAGTTCGAAAGCACCCCGGGTGCAAGTAGATAAATAGGGACCGCTTACTAGCAGGAAGGTAAACGGCGTCTGGTTCGCCAGAGCAGCGATGTCACGCTGGCCACGTGACCCGGAAGTGTCTCCGGACAGCGCTGGCCCCCGGCCTCTTGAGTGAGATGGGCGCACAACCCTAGAGTCTGTCAAGACTGGCCCGTACGGGCAGGGGTACCTTTACCTTTAATTTAGACGTAATCTATTTCAAGAGAATCCATCATCCCACTTCATGATTTCAGGCTCTTCTTATTCATCATTTTTCCATTTCTCCTAATTCAACAGGTATTTTAATCTACATATTAAAGCTGCTATCTGGCTAAAGACACCTTTTTGAGATAATCCATGCATGAGTCATAGCAAGCATCTTTAAAAGGAGCATTCCCTCCTAGGCAGAGAATAGCCATTGTGGATAATAAAAAAAGTTACATATTTTCCTGTAAAAATATTCTATTTCTCCCACAGTAGTCAACTGATTTTAAAAAGACTGAGTGTGTAAATATTACATATTCACAAATGCTACTCACTGTTTGGTCAATAAGCTTATTGACTTGTTTTTGCAGTTTCTGGCATTCTTTGAATTTTTCCTTGTAATGATCAGCAGCCATCTGCAGGCGGAGCTTTAAGTCTTCAACTTCTCTGCGTAGTTCCTTCTCTACAGTGCTGGAAGTTTCCTTTAACAACAGAATGATCATTAATAAAAGTGTGTTTATTCTTCAAAATAATTGTGCTTTTTCTTAGTACTATAGGTTTTTTTTAGTGATAAATAAGAAATTACTTCTGCTGACGCCAAATTGTCAATTTTTCTTTTTAAAAAACTATGCTGAAATGGGATAAGAGTAACTACGTTCCTTATATGCCTTGCTATTTCTCTGGAAAGTTTAGTGCAAGTTGTATGAAGCCATTAACTGTTTCCCAGCCAGGCATTAACTGGGCACACACCCACTCAGTTTCAACAGTGCTACAACAGGAGTCATTCTGGGAACCTTTACTGGACAAAGAAGCCAATCCTTTAACAAAAAAAATGTCCCAGCAGTCAATGGGCTCTCTTCCATAGCACATAATAGATGAAAACTGCAACTGAGATGCATCCTGTATTAACACTGACCAACTCAGTTGGTTCAAAAGGCTGCCTATAAACATTAACCATTAGGATAGTATTCAAATGCCATGTTCTGGCTACTTTCTGGAGAACTACTGGCGTACAGGTCAAATTAACCCTGCCAAATCAATGAATTTGGCTCATGACCTGACACTGTATCACACCACGTGCACAGACCTGTTATCTCTTATCTTAGCACTGTGTTGCTTAACACCAAGATTGGAGATAAGACCGCGCTTGCTCACCTACCGGAATGGCCAGTGGAGGGTGAGCCAAGTATAAGCAGCAATTTTTCAAACTCTCCAAATTAAAAAAATAAATGTCAAATGCAATGCATACACCTATACCAAGGTGGGGGCCTGTTCTGCTCCCATGCCTATGTGGGAGACTTACATTAAAATTGTTTATTTGACCGTGAAAGCTGCAGGCTACCCAAAAGATATTGGGGGCCTCATTCAACATTTGGCCTGTATGTTGGCCATTCCTAGATTGAAGAATCTGAATAGAAATTGCAAGAAACACTCTAAGCTAGGGTTACCAGACATCCCTGTTTCCAGGGACAGTCCCCAGATCTGCAAATGGGTCCCCGGACAAATTCTGTCCCCAGATTGTCCCTGGATTTCATTAAATGTCCCCAGGAAGGGGGGACACCAACAGAAGCAGCCAGAATCAACTCAATTGTTCAGCAGGGGGGAGAAGGCGCTGTGATTGCAAAGCACAGGCACACACGCAAGAGGGGGGAAATCAGAAAGAAAAGCCCCCTTTCTCTCCATCAGCCTCGTCGGCCTCATTTAAATCTCCCTGGATGGCAGCCTGGTCTCTGGCAGGATCAAGTTCCAACCCTTCTTCAAGCTTCACTCCCCCCCCCCCGCTTCTCCCCTCCATTCTGCCTGCACAAGTCTGTTTGCACAACAGGCAAATCCAATAGGTATGATGCGAAAGATATATTTCAACTGCCTAGACAACTTGCTATCATATTTTGTAACAGTTAAGCTTGCTTGCTGATGTTCACACAAGATCAACTCCTTGTGCTAACATTTCACTGGATCTCTTCACTACAATGCAATTACTGTGTTCTAGACTAGTACGGTGGAGGGACGCGGGTGGCGCTGTGGGTAAATCCTCAGCGCCTAGGGCTTGCTGATCGCATGGTCGGCGGTTCGAATCCCCGCGGCAGGGTGAGCTCCCGTCTGCGGTCCCAGCTCCTGCCCACCTAGCAGTTCGAAAGCACCCCTAAAGTGCAAGTAGATAAATAGGTACCGCTTTCTAGCGGGAAGGTAAACGGCGTTTCCGTGTGCTGCGCTGGTGCCGGCTCGCCAGAGCAGCTTTGTCACGCTGGCCACGTAACCCGGAAGTGTCTCCGGACAGCGCTGGCCCCCGGCCTCTTAAATGAGATGGGCGCACAACCCTAGAGTCGGACACGACTGGCCCGTACGGGCAGGGGTACCTTTACCTTTACACTAGTACGGTACAGTGGTACCTCAGGTTACAAACACTTCAGGTTACAAACTCCGCTAACCTGGAAGAAGTACTTCAGGATGCAAACTTTGCCCCAGGATGAGAACGGAAATTGCGCGCCGGCAGCAGTGGGAGGCCCCATTAGCAAAAGGACACCTTAGGTTAAGAACGGTTTTGGGTTAAGAACGGACCTCCAGAACGCATTAAGTTCATAACCCGAGGTACCACTGTATTATACCTCACTGAAAGTGAATGATAATTGGTAATTATCCAAATAATTTTGTTTTGTATTATCTGTAGCAGAAAATGTATTATTAAACTTAAGTGCAACCAATCTCTTACCTGTTCATTTTTCACCAGTGCCATTTTCTTAAGTTCACCTACAGCATCAGCAAGTTGCTTCTTCACCTTTTCATTTTCTAGTCGAGCACTATGAAGATCCGCCATAGTTTTATCGCGCACATTTACAGCATCACTGAGCTCTTTTGACATCAGCAGAGCTTCCTGCCTACTAGCTTGAATCTGATCCTCAGCTTTCCGAAGCTGCTCCTTCAAAATACTTGCCTCTTCCTAGAATAAAAAGCAGAAAACTTATTTTAAATGTGACTCAAGATTTATTTGTGTCTAAGTTATCTTCAAATGGAAGACAAACAAAACATAGCTCTGCCCTACTTTTAGAGGAAACGCCATCAGTACAACTTCACACTAAGCAGTATGGACAGGGTTACTGACACATATTTCTAATCAGTTCTTTACATAACATTGATTACACCTTCCTAATAATTTCACTTGGCTTCCTTTTTTCTCCATTCCTGAACAATACAAACCTTGATACTCATATCTAGCCTGCTGGTCATATTAATATCATGATTCTGTTTCCTGCAGAAGAGTGATATTTTGGAAATATTATAATGAAGATATTGGTAAACAAAAGTATATGAAAGGAATACTTCTAATTATCTGCATAACATAAGCTATTTGACAAGACAGTGTGAAATATCTAAAGGGAAAACATGCCAGAAATGGAAAATTGCCTTTAATTATGAAACATGAACATAGACAACAAGTCTTATGGGAAGCCACAATAACAATTTAAACAGAAAATCAACCCCTCTTTTAGAGAATGAATCCATTTACCCAATGACTACGCAGCAGATAATTTGAGTTAACTGGGATATGCACTGCACAGAATGAAAAGCGGAATTCAATCATAAACATTAATATGTTACCAAAGTACCCCCATTACCTTGTTTGATGAAGTAAGCAAGAAGGCTCTCTTCAGCTTTTCTTTTTCAGCCATGCACAGTTGTAATCTGCCAACTTCCTCTTTATAATAGGCTATAAGGTTTTCTTTGTTTCCATCCAAATTCTTTAGAGTGTGAACTTCTGATGCAAGTTTGGTGTTTTCAATTTCTGTGTTCTTCAGATGTATCTAATTATAATTACAAACCATATATAATGCTAGAACCACCTTACATCCTTACCAATCATGTTTAATCCAAACAGCCCCCGCAAAAAGAGACAGAAGGGGAAATATTTTAATATAGTTGCTATCATGATGATGAATTCCTATTTTTTCATTGACTTGGTCAACTGTTTTAAGGTCTTTTTTAAAGTTATATCTGAAATGGTATATAAAATAGTTCTGAACAGACACTTTTCAAATATATTTATAAAGCTGATAGTGATGTATTTTGTGAAATACATAAGTGATGTTCCTTCCATGAGTGAACAGCTCTGTAAAGTCTATAAGTCTATTTGGAGTAGGTAGCTAGAAACTGATGCATTTTTCAGATTGTGAATAGCATGTTCAAAACAGATTTGACCAGGCATCCATACAAAAGAGAAGCTGAACTTCTCTTTTGTAGCTGAACTTCTCTTTTGTAGCTATAAACCCGTTTCTCTTTTATTAACCTTTAAGCGAATGTTCTATTTTGCTTTTATGGAAGACTTATTATGAAGTAAGTATGAACCTGGGAAACAGCAACACAGACATTCCAGTAATGCTATGCTGTAACTGCCCTGTGATCTTTGGATGAAGGCAGTATACAAATTTAATAAATAATAAAATTTTTGTCAGACTAGCTGTATTGCTGGTCTATGAAAACTAACTTCATCAAACAGAAATTTCTCTATATATACATATATCTACATGACCTTTATTTTACTGTATCCTTCTACTGAAAAATGCATGAATTCTAGTTCTCAGCTATCTATCAGGCAAGCAGAAAAGTTACCTTGTAGAGTTCCTTTTCATCCTTCTCAGTCTTCAACTGGCATTCAAGTTGTTCCTTTTCAATGGCTACTTTCTTGAGTTTATCTTTCAGGCTATGAACAAAGTAAAACATCCTTATGTATTTGGTTCTCTTTAAATATCAGGATTAAGTATCAGGATTAAATTAGATGGATACCTGTCTAACTCAGTTTCTTTTGCAATAGCTTTCTGAGTAACAGTCATGATGTCTTCTTCAAGCTGTAGAACTTTGGAAGTAGCCTCATTCTGCTTTTTCTTGAGTTCTTCATTTTCTGTTTTAAGGGTTTCTGCAGTTTTGGAATTATCCTTGCAAAAGCAAAAGGGCATTTGTCAAAGAACATTTTGGGTATACAATTCTAAAGGAAAATAAATCCTAATATTGCTATCAGCGAGGAAATCAGAAAGAGTGTTACATCTAAGGAGGGTTCAAGAGATCTGAGCAATTTGTACTAAGAAACCACATAGTACCTCCACCATGATTATATTCCCGCAGTTCAAAGGGCAGGATCCAATGCAACATTAGCACAAGTTGAATGTTGTTGCCTAACAATTCTGCAATGCAATGCAGAAGCTTAACTCTTCAAAATCTAACAAAAACAGCTGCTGCCCTAGAGGTTGGAAAACACATTTTGAAAGTGTAGGGAAACAAGTGGATGTAGTTGTTGCACCACACTAAGAATGAGCTTCCTTGTCAGGAGAATGACTACCATGACTGGATACCACCCATGCAGCCTGAGCCTCCCACTCCCAAATCTGTCCTAGAGGATCCCCTCAACCCTTTGGGGGCGGAATTAAGAAAAGTGTGTGTGTGTGTGTGTGTGTGTGTGTGTGTGTGTGTTGGTGGCGTGGGGGTGAGACTAACATTGCTTCCCACTCCATGCCGCTGATGGATGCATTACTGTCAGCTGAGTGATTTCGTTGGGTACAACAATATGTAGTGTTTAACTTAAGTCTAAACTGAGCTTCTGCAACTACCAAAGGAACAAAATTATCCCTATCATTTTGTAACCAAAGGAACTGCAAATCAACGGGCACTGAAATGTAACTTCCATATTTGAGTAACTTTAAAAGAGTTGTACAAAATAAATATACATTTATTTTCATGCCCTTTTAAGATTCTAGAAGACTAGAACAGCAAAGAAAAAGAAAAGAAAGCCATAAAACCATGATTTTTATTAACCTGCAGAAAGAGAAAGATTATGAAACCAATGAATCTGTCAGTACTCTTTATTTAGTCTATATATATGGAAACATTTTTCAAATGTTTACAGGATCAACAAAGAGACATGTTAACTGATTTACTATATACCAAAATTATACATAAGGGAGCTAAGAGTAGACACTAACATAATATTTAAGTCTAACCCAGGATCCTTGTATTAGTTTGTCACGAGAGGGAGACAAATGACTGTACAAGGCTGCACTGCAGTGTGGGCATTACCTGGCTTAATACAACATATCATTTGTTTGTTATATTAAACAAACTTGTGCTATGCAAGACAATGGAAACATTTGGAAAACTGCTCCCTCATACAACTTAAGCTAGATATTAAATTTTTAAAAAATGTGTTTCGGTCTTTTATTGAGTTAGTTCTGGGTGAAAATAGACTGAATCAAAACTTTTTGAAAAGTTCTACCAAGTTATCAAGACACAGCAATTTAAAAAGCTATCAGAAGTGTAGATATTTATGTTACACCCACATACATTCTGGAAAGTATAAGGTAAAGGTAAAGGTACCCCTGCCCGTACGGGCCAGTCTTGACAGACTCTAGGGTTGTGCGCCCATCTCACTCAAGAGGCCGAGGGCCAGCGCTGTCCGGAGACACTTCCGGGTCACGTGGCCAGCGTGACATTGCTGCTCTGGCGAGCCAGAGCCGCACACGGAAACGCCGTTTACCTTCCCGCTAGTAAGCGGTCCCTATTTATCTACTTGCACCCGGGGGTGCTTTCGAACTGCTAGGTTGGCAGGCGCTGGGACTGAACGATGGGAGCGCACCCCGCCGCGGGGATTCGAACCGCCGACCTTTCAATCGGCAAGCCCTAGGCGCTGAGGCTTTTACCCACAGCGCCACCCACGTCCCTAAAAACTTTCAAATTATGTTGTGCATCCTCTATCCTGGACTCTGATGTCTTGTAAAAGTTTTTTAAAGTTTTAATCGGCCTTTGAAAATGTACAATTCTTTTAAGCTTTTTTGAACTATAAGTTACCTTTTGCTGTGCTTCCAGCTGATCACATCTTTCCTTTTCACGGTTCAGTTCTTTTTCCAGTCTTTCAACTTGATCTCTAAGCTGCAGGGTTTCCTTTTCAAGTGAAGCAGTCACCTTTAATAGTTCTTCTTTTTCTTTCATAGTTTTTTCAATCTGGAACTAAAACGACATAATCCCATCTTACATGGTAGTTCTTACCTCACTATCACCATAACATTACAAATTTGTAAGTACTGTATAATTTCTTTCAAGCTGCATAACTGAATGACACAAAACCAAAAGACCAGTTCCCATATTTACTTTAATATCTGACCACCCACCTTATCACACATTAATAGTAAATTAAGGCTGAATTTTTATGTCAGGTTAATAGTCAGCACAGATAACTACTACTATTATTTTTTAAAAGGCAAAAGGTAAAGGACCCCTGGATGGTTAAGTCCAGTCAAAGGCAACCATGGGGTGTGGCGCTTGTTTCGCTTCAGGCCAAGGGAGCCAGCCATTGTCCGCAGACAGCTTTCCAGGTCATGTGGCCAGCATGACTAAACCACTTCTGGCGCAATGGGACACTGTGACAGAAACCAGAGCGCACAGAAACGCCGTTTACTATTTATAGTTACAAGAAGTATCTAACTTCCGTGATTTGTAAAAGTTTATTTGTATCTCTCAGCTATAAGTAACCGCCAGAACTCTAGAAACGAGAATCATGGGATCCTTTAGGAACTTAAGCCCTCTTGAGGACTTCACCACAGAATCGTAAAGTTGGAAGGTATCCCCAAGGGTCATCTAGTCCAACCCCCTGCAATGCAGGAATCTCAACCACATTCCCATGGAAGCAATCATGCTGGAGGATACTGGCACACTCTGCCAATATGCCCATCCTAATATGCCATCTCTATTCTGTTGAGAATCACCCACAAATTTGAGCACAAAGATTTGCAACAGAGAGCATCCCCACGTGATCCTTATCCTTGCACCATGCCACAAACTGGCATGAATAATAGTGAAGTCTCTCAACCCTTTCTCCCCTCTGATAATTATTCTTAATGACACTGTCACATCACAATACCTTCCTTCCTCACAGAAGCTTTGCAACCTACTTTTGAGCTCTGAAGTGCTTTTTAGACTACAGATTTAAAGTGGAGAAGTTCATAGGTAAGTGTGTGTGCACATACAAGTGAGCATACACACAGCTGCAGACAATGTAGAAAATATCCGTTAATCTAAGATTTTCTAGTGTCTCCACAAGAATTTGCTCCCAGCTGAGAAACACCTGTGCATGTTAAGGTAGCTACTGTCAAAGTATTCATTTTTACAAAATGCCATACTGCTCTCCTAAACTATCCTTGGAGTATACCCACTGAAATGAATGGACCTACATGATTCATGTCCATTCATCTTAATGGGTCTATTCTGAGTATGGATACAACCCTTTAATTCTAACTTGACGGAAGTTCAGTTCTACGCTGTATAGCTAAATAAACAGGTATCACAATTTGCCAATTCAAACCTCAAGAAGTCCAGCCTTTGTGGTCACCACCAACATGTCTGAATTCCCTTCATCTTCCATCGTCAACAATTCTTCAACAGGAGATGATGTTCGAAACTGAAACGGAGTGCTTGCTCCACGGATCTCACCCTTATGTGTTACATAGCAGAACTGGTAAAATTCACCATCATCATTTGGAAGGTAGTATCCTAATGAAAAAAACAGAATTTAAAGACCAAGTTCAGGGAGGCACTTAGCACAGGGACAGACTCCTGTCCTTCAGAGCCAGACAAACAAATTGTGTACAGGATGAGGAAGTTCCCACCCTGAATTTCAAGTTGCTTTTGTTCCTTTGAAGGGGAAAGTCTTGCTTTTTTAAAGACAGTATAAGACAGACTAAAATACACCAACAGGAGAGCAGTGATGGCCTTAGGACAGCAGGTAGCTGCCACTTGCCTCACTTTCCTTGGTCATGGAGGTCTAATGTCCTCTTGGGTCAGCATCCCTCACATGCATGATCTCCTGAGGAGATAGAGCTGCAAAGCTGCCTACATATAAACTCATTTAGCCAAACCAGTTGGGAATTAGTAACACCAAGTGATTGTTTGGGTGGTGCTGGTCAGCTGTAAGTCAAGACAGGATGTGCCCCTCCATGTTTTATGGCTTCACACTCCTCTTGTGGGTGGAACACTCAGCTGATTTAGAGGAAAGGGGGCAGTGCCTCCTACTTGACTCCAAGCTCAGGAGTATGGCTCACATGATGTTAAGACTCTTCCATCTACAGTACAGGAGATGGAAAAAGAGAACTGGTCACTCATCCACCCCACCTATATCCAAAAGTAAAAGTGCTCATGCATTCTTTGAGAACTGAATAAAGATGACACTACATTACAAGCTATACTGGGTCCAGAACCTTTGCCTGCAGCTCCCAATCTCTTCACCAGCTAGCACCCCAATAAAAGAAAGGCAACCCCCCTTTTGATAGTAATGATAGAAGATAGAAGATCCAGTAGATGGAATGATCAAGGTGACTCATGCAAGGTCCTGGAAAATGAAACAGTTGAGTATAGGCGATACTCCATATTTGCCTGACTATAGGACCTGGGGATACAGCAGGTTATACATTCTGTATCATACATTGCATGCCCATTATACATTAAGAGCAGGCACGAAAGGAACTCCAACTGATTTCTCAGAAAAGCCAGGAAGTATAGATCCTATCACTTGTTGAGCTCTATCCCAGATTGATAAGAGGTTAAGTCATCTTTACCACATGGTTAAATGGTGAAGAACACTGAAGGGTACTCCAATTAAACACAAGTAATAGCATAGATCCACTTACCCAGAACATCTAACTATAATGTTTATGTGCCCAAAGGTTTGAATCAAAGCTGTACTAAATAAATGATAAGTCAATAGAAATGGTATAACTTATCACAAAATATATGGATGTTTTTGAAGTTCTAAAGAAGCAACAGGAAAAAACCTAAGCAGACATAGCAACCAATTTAAAATTTACCTTGAAAAGACAGCACAGAGTTAACTGTTGATCCTTCCACATAGTTGTCAGGCATAGGTGACCACAGAAATGTGTAATAATCTCGTGCAGTACTCCAACCAACCTAAAGTAAAAAGCAGCCTTATCACAATATAATTATGCACAATTCTTTGTAAAAATTAACTTTCAGATCATCCAAGAAAAATATGCATTTAAAAATCCAATCAACCACTGCTGTGCATATTTATATGCTTAATGTAGTTTTGTCTCAACACTGTATAATTGTCTCAACACTGCAGTTTCTCAATAATTTAGCTACTGATAACGTTCCAATATGTTCTCAGGTACAAAAGGGGGGGCATGAGACACAATGAACCCTCCATAATATGTCTTCACAGCTTTGAGACTCTTAATAAAGTAGGAATAGAGTTTCTGCACTAGCTTCAAAGCTTTCCCTTCACTTACGCAGGCTACAGAGACCCTTTGGCAGCAGCTATTTTAATACCTAATCTTACCCCCTCCCCCAATTTTTTTTGCTTGTTCTACAGTGAGGATAAACATTAAAACTATTACCTCTAGAATAATTTCATCATAGGTTTCATTCCAATTGTATCCTACCCTTGCATTCAGTTTGTTTTTTCGCCCAACCCCACCGTTTCCCTTTGTTATAAAAGGATGTTTGATCAGGAAGTTGGTAAAAAAATACTTCTGCCACCTGCACCAGGATATAAACTAATTGCACTAAGCCCAGAGACATAATGAACACTAAAAAGTTAAAAAGTGGAGATTTGTCCTACTTACATTAGTCTAAGAGTTAACAATAGTCAGACAGCCACCACACTGTTAACTTTAAAACTGGCTGGGCCTTTTCAGGTTTTGTTGCTGGTAAATGAGTGCTTCATTTGAAAGATACTCCCTTGTGAATAGTTTGGATTCCTAAAAGTCTGCTATCTGAAGACCAACACAGCTCTACCTACAAGTGGATCTACCAGCAAGGAGGGGACATGAGATGTTCCAGTCTGACATTGCTACTTTTCTATCCTTCACTTCCTCCAAGTAGCAAGGTTCCCTCCCCATTTTATATTCACCACACCCCAGTAAGCTGGGGTGGTGGCAACTGGCCCAAACTCACCTAGGAAACTTTATGGCTTAAAGGAGATATGAACCTGAGGCTCTCCAATCAGAACCTGAAACAAGCAACTACAGTATGCTAGCTCTCAGATAAAGAATGGCAGACCACAATCATTCCTAGCAAGTAGGTCTTCTCATGAGGATAGTCTTCAGCATGTCTTGGCTTTGCCAAGCAGCAAGTTTGGGTCTTTAACTGGAACTTACCTGCAAGTAACTCTTATACTTACAATGCCACAGTTTGAATGCTTAAACATGAAAGGGAGGGAAGAACTATGTGTGCACTTACTGTACAACCAATCAATAATCCTCCAGAGTTAATTTACATGGTTTTTAGGTACATATATGAAAACTTCTTATACAGCACCCCACTTCAAAACTTGCTGGCGCCCACTAGGAAGTCAGCAGAAAGTTGCATGTCTGCCATGGGAACCTATATTACAGTACTGACAACAGCAGGAACTACCACAACCAAGATGCTAATTCAGACTGCATTAATTGTTCTGAGCCAGTGCATAAGCAAGCTTAGCAAACCCAGTCTAAGTTTCAAATTCTGCTGTGTGCCAAGGTTAATATGAAGCCTTCATAGAGGATTTGGAGTTGTAAATACATTCCTTGACCTAGCTTTCTTCCATGTTGACCCCTTGACCCTAATGGAACAAACAGGCGTTGTGCAACCTTTTCCCATATCTGTGAATCTCAGATAAGAGCATGCAAGCCACCAACTTCTTGTGCAACACTGATATTTGCTCCAACACTGGTATGAGACCAGAGATCAGGCTGAAAGATTTTCACAAACTGCGTACTCCACAAAGGCTATGCACAAGGTAATAATTTCCAAGTTCCATTTTTTTATTATATCTTGTAGAACACTGTTTGCATTTTCTTGCCTCATCAATTCTCAGGTACAGTAAGGCATTCTATAACTCAAAGAGGTTAAAATGGAATCTTCTTTACAATACTGGCTTCTCTTAATATGCGTATGATCATTAGATTTCTTTCCAAGTATGATCACTGAACACAGCACGACTCACTTCCAAGTAAACATGCACAGGAAAATTATTTTAGTAAAGGTATAGAAAAGAGTAAAATCACAACAAAAAAGGAAAAGAATGTTTAAATTGAAGGAAAAGAATGTTTAAATTGAAGAGTACAGCTAGTAGGAGACATTTGCTTTCATAAATATGTATAGCAAAAATGACTAACCCTTATTGAATCATTATAAAGCACCTGATATTTTAAAACATCTTCTATTAAAAATATAATCAAAACATTAAAATAATATAAAGAACAAAAGAAGCAGTAGGTAAAATATAACCACCAACATACTAGGTAGATTAAAATATATTAACCCAACCAACCAAATACCTACTGGAAAGAAAGAAAAATTCACAAAAGCTGAAGGCAATCAGAGAGAGGAGCCTCTAGGTATGGCCAAAGGGAATGCCTTTCTCTGCATCCCAATCAAACACAACTCAGATGGTGAGATGAAGAGAAGAGAAAATCTCTACAAAGTGGACAGGTTCATATTCTGTGATTAAATTATGTAGATTAAATTGTAAAGGAGAGGGTACATGGTTCCGCCTTAGCGGGAGGTGTAAGTGTAAGTAATTTATTGGTACCTTCCCACCGCACAAATGGTGATATGGCCTCAAAAGCAGCAGGAATTCAGCTATGATGATGTTGCCATAAACTCATTTATATTTCTAAAGCAAAACACATTCCCAACCATTTTATCCAATTTTCTTGTGTATCTTCTACTTAAAAGAAGTGAAACCTTATCATATATTAAAACATGCTACAAACTTGCTTACCTTGAAAATACCAACCCAATCCTTTTGGTGAGGGCGTATATAGGGAGTCAGAGTGTAATGGCACTCAAGGTGCACATTTGGAAGGTAACTTTTTGCTACATTCTGAAAGATGACATGTGCAAAATTTGAAGTCTGCAGGGCACTGTTTGAAGATGGAACTTCTTGAAAGGATGACATTGTTGCTCTGTAAAATAATGTTAAAATTCCTATTAAAACAGTAATTTGTATGATTCCAAGTTTTAAAGGTACAGACAACCTAAACTTCTTAACCACCCTTCATAAAAGATTGCAGGGTAGCATGCAAAAGTATGAATAAAATTGAGTCAAACATACAAATATAAATTAAAGCCAATAGGCAAAAAATGTAAGAAAAATGCAAAACAAAAAACCACAGCACCCTAAAAATAGAACACAATCCCAAAAGTTATTTCAAATATAAAACTTAGAAAAGGAACTTAAACAAGAAAAAGATGGCTAATTTGTTTGTGGTATTCTCATTCCCATTTTAAAAACTCATTTAACACACAGTACCTAACCACTGGGTTGGCAGGATGAGAGTGCCTCCACACATCATACCATCCACTAAATTAGCTTTATCCGCACAACATGCTAAGAGGATCTAAACATATATTACATATCTAAAGCAGGGTCACACTCCCCTGCTTCACTCCCATGAAGGTCATCCATCAGGGCTGCCAATGCTTTCCCCCCAACCTGGTGCCCTCCAGATTTTTGGACTCCAACTTCCATCATCCTGACTACTGGCATGCCAAGTGGGACTGATGTGAATTGGAATTCAACAAGATCTAGATAATGCATTTCATCCAGAAGTGGCTGGAGCTGAACTGACACCACCTTTCTGAAAAGAGGATATTGACAGCTGGGCAATATAAGCAACCGGTTTAGGCATATCTGAAATTTCACAACCACGCATGCATGCATTGTGTCAAACATATAAATGACTAAAAAAGGTCACGAAAAGGGGTGGAATTCAGCAGGCTTATGGAATGCAATTGACCACTGCCTGTAGTCATTACAAATCGTCAGGTTTTCATGTGAGCTTCTTAAGGCATAGACAAACACCGTCTCACAAGGAGACACCACCTTCTTGATGCACTATTCCTGAGTCAACAGACTCATACTTGAGAGACTTACACCATCTATGGACCAACTTGTCTCCCCGTTTGTTTCAAGGTAAAACAAGGAACCACACGCCACTGCAGTGCCTGAGAGGCAACGATTTCAAAATGACAGCAGAGACTAAAAAAAAGAGTGTTAGTCACATCAGCTTGAAATTCCTCAAAAGCATTCAGGAATTTTATTGGATTCCATGTGTCTCCAAAAGCAGACCAACTTAATGGATCCACCATCCCTGCAGAGGAAAACTGCCAGTATCAATCTAAATCTCACCCAGAAGTGAAGTGACCGTAACAGGACTGCAGTAAACCCTATTATTTCCAGGCAAACCTCCTGTCTGGTCCAAAATATCATATTCATTGCATGCCTTCCAGAATCCGTCAGGCCAATAATACATTTAAACAGCACAATTATGGTTCTGAAGTCCCAAAGTTGGCCTCTTTAAGATGGATATAGCATGAATACTGGAATTTCCAGTACAGCATCCTTTTTCTAACCCCATGTTTCCTTGTGTTTATCCATCAGGGATGGGGAATGTGCAGCACTCAAGATGTCGTACTGTAATTTCCATCATTGCTGCAGGTTCCCCTGCCCTGTCAAAAATGATTTGAAGTTAAAACTAAACAGATAAAGTGCCAATTAGCAAATGGCATCCAATTATTCAGGAAGGTAAAAGCAGCCTGTAAAGAGTTCCAAAAAGCTATCCATCAATTAGGTGAATGGACCCACAAAATGGCAAAAATGTTAAAGCAAAATAAGCATAATGCATACTGGAGCAAAAAAATGCCAAGTTCACAAAGTCTGAACTGGCAGTGACTAATTAGGAGAGAGATATTTGGGTCACAATTAATAGCTTACTGAAATAGCTACTGCAGCTCTCTCTGCAGCATGGAAGAAAGAAATTCCCATGCTAGCTATTACAAGAAAAGGGGCTAAAATTAAACTGTCTATACATAAATGCCTCATATAAATTGAATGTGCAACTTCACATTTGGTCATGCCACCTCGAGGAGATAAAAAAGGCACATGATAGCCAAAATTATCAAGTGATTGGAACAATTTTCTTAAGAGAAAAAGATGAACTATTTTATACTGAACTAGAAAAATACAAGATTTTAAAAATGTATGCATGGGTAAGAATAGACAAGATTTTCTGCCTCTAATATTAGTGCTCTTGTCTCTCAATAAAATTAACTGGCAGTAGATTCAGGACAGACAGAATAATAGAATTGCAGAGTTGGAAGGGATCCGGGGGTCAGCTAATCTAAGCCCCTGTAATGTAGGAATCCTGCCCACAGCTGTCCTTGGGTGGGCTCAAACCACCAACCTTTTGGATAACAGCCAGATGCATTGCCTAACACCAGGTCACTGATGTGGATTTTGTGGGAAAGGTTCAAATGGGGGGAGGGAGAATCCTACGCAAATTTTGCACAGGGTAGTTTGCATTGCAAAATGCTCCACTGACTTTGAGAACATTTATATTACTTGTATTTAGTAAACAAAGATAAACACTTTGAAACTACCAAACTTATCTAATATAATATTTGCAATTGGCATCCATTCATTATTACTAACAAACTGATGAAATTGATAAAGTTTCCACAAAAGATACTGCTAGAAAATTTTCAGTTTTAGAAAATTTTCTGTGCCACATCACTCCATGATGGAATTTGCTGTCAAAGAATGTGGTCTTGACCACTAGTCTAGGTAAAGGACCGCTGACAGTTAAGTCCAGTCGCATACGACTCTGGGGTTGCAGCGCTCATCTCGCTTTATTGGCCGAGGGAGCCAGCGTACAGCTTCCGGGTCATGCGGCCAGCATGACTAAGCCACTTCTGGCGAAGCAGAGCAGCGCACGGAAACACTGTTTACCTTCCCGCAGGAGCGGTACCTGTTTATCTACTTGCACTTTGACATGCTTTTGAACTGCTAGGTTGGCAAGAGCTGGGACTGAGCAACGGGAGCTCGACCCGTCGCGGGCATTTAAACCGCCGACCTTCCAATTGGCAAGCCTAGGCTCAGTGTTTTTTTGGGTGGGAAACTTGTGGTCATTCCAATGTTGTTTAACTGCTCCAAACTTTCATCAGCCTAGACCCAAAGATAGTTTGCCAATGAACGCCTGTTGCTGGGAAGACACCTGTTTTACCTTCTAACTCTGACTGTAAGCTTCTTGGTGGCAGGTGAGTAGCCAATGTGGGAATCAGGATGAGGACTACATTTGTTCTGATCCAGGCATAGCCAAGGTGATGTCTTCCAGATACTATGGCCTGCGATTCTCATGAGCCCCAGCCAGCAAGGCCTATTTTCAGGCATTATAGGCACTGTAGTCTGCACCGCCAAGAGTACCACATTGGCTATCCAGTCTGATCCAACAGATTCTTATGCTCACTCCCTCCATCTTGTTCCTCATTAAAGGCAAATGCACATAATGACTTAATCCAAAGTTATAGTTAAACCTCATTACAAAAGCATGACTTAGGAGTGAATGGATGCTAATCTATGCTAGCAACTGTGAGATAAAAGAACATTAGACTGCATAATTTAGCCAACTGTTGTGTACGGGAATATCAAGTTCACAAGGTAACTAAGGTAATGAGCACTCCTGAGTTGAGTCAATATGTAATGGGAAGCTTATTTTAAAAACAATTTTTAATAAAACTCCTTTCTGATAGTCACAAAAACAGATTGTGTTTGTCACCATGTCTAGGAAAACATCATTAGCGGGTAGTATTGTTGCCACAATCTCAGCTATGCCAAACATGACACCACAAAAAGCATCCAAAACATATCTGAATCATCATAATCACACTGACAAAAGAAGGGTGGTTATCATGAACTAACTGGTCTACATATACAAGAGGCTGAAAAGCAACTCTTCACCATGTTTACTGGTCACTATCCTCAGACTCCACTGAGGAATGATACGAAAATTCGCATAGCTTCATGAAGTTATGTATCTGCAGGAGCAAATCTATATTTGGACAGACATGCCTGCAGAGCTTTGACCAGAGGCCTTCTATTTACTATGCAAAAGGCTCAAATCCACTTTAGGGGGGGGATTTCCCCCCTTCTACTACATTAACAACAAAATCCTGTACCAGTATACTCAGAAGTCAGTCACATCAAGCACAATAGAGTATGGTCACAAGATTCAGGCATCAGGATTGAAATTTCATTGGCATCACAAAACTAGGGACCTTCTGTTAACTCACTGTAGTTATAACTGATCAGTGATTATCCTGTTTCATTGGAATATTTAAATAAGAATGAAACACCATTTGTATTTTATGACTTATTATTCTCTTCAGACACATGTATAATTCAAATGGTGATTATGTTTCATGTGCTTGATGAAAAGCACAGTGGTAGTTTAGTGCTCAGTGGTAGTTTATACTACAACAAATCTGTTCTTTGATGCCATAAAACTTGTTTTATGGGATCGTAGTGCAAAAAAGGCAGGTAAATAGTTTTTTATGAATGTTGTTCTTAATATCAGAATTTCCTATAAAGGACATAAAGCTGAACATGTTTTAATTCTGTGCTAAAGGAAGATATGGTTTATAATTAGTTTTTGTATTTCCAGAAATACCTCCATTGTGCTTTTATCCCAGCATATCTGTAAAACTTGAGTCCCTAGCCCAAGGCAATAATCTAACCTGATTACCTCCACAATAATTTCTCTCATTCTCTTAAGAACAATCTGCAAACAAGGGTTTAATACCATGCCTTCAATAAGAAACTTTTTTTGTACCTTTTGAAGAATTCTTGCAGCATCCAGCTTTAGGAAGGTTTTTGGCATACTTCAGAAGCTTGCATATTAAATTGGAAATGGTAGTTTCATCATTGTCACTTTGGTCTGGAGGGAATAGTATGCCTCAGCATTAATACTTTTTTGTCATAGTATTCCACACACGGTGGATTGTGACTATCTTCCTAAGAGTTTCTGTTTAAAGCACTCAATGTCCTCTTTAATAGAGCAGCATCAACAGTGCAACCTACTACAGTGGTGCCTCGCAAGACGAAATTCGTTCCGCGAGTTTTGTCGTCTTGCGATTTTTTTCATCTTGTGAAGCACGGTGTCAGGAAAGTTTTGGAAAAGCTTCAAAAATCACCATAGTCTTTAAAAACCTCAAAAAAGGCTACCACACCGTGTTCTATGAGTTGCTCCTCGAAGTCAAGTCGCAACTGTATTAACGGTGTTAAGAAAAAGGAAACAAACTTGCAAGACGTTTCCGTCTAGCAAAGCAAGCCCATAGGGAAAATCGTCTTGTGAAGCAACTCAAAAAACAAAAAACCCTTTCGTCTAGCGAGTTTTTTGTCTTGCGAGGCATTCGTCTTGCGAGGTACCACTGTATCTATATATTTTCTATTCAAGAACCACCTTTTTTTTTTTGTTTCCATTACAAACAGGAACACTGAAAATGAATGTTTTTCAAGCTCATTCAAGACCAGCTTTCTAAAGGCATTAAATTACCCCAAACATTTAAGTCAATATTTATCTAAGAATTAGTATTTTTAATTTTTTTTTAAATACCCTTCAATAGATGTTTACTCCAAGGGTAAACAACCACTGTGATACACAGTAGCAATCCTACCTTAAAGATACAACGCCCGCACCACCTCATGCAACTCGCAGTTTAAAATCTATTCCAACAAGCGAAGGTGGCTACTCTGTCTGGAAAAGTCATCTAGAGCAGCAGTATTTCTACCTGTCATTAAACAGTAGTCAAAACTGATGTGTTAAGTACAAAAATCCCGCAGGAGTTTGCAAGCAGCTGCACGTCAAAGCTGGCAAAAGCGAAAGCTGTTCGGGACCTTAAGAGGCCGCTTGTTTACAAAGCTCAGAATGAGTGGATCTGATGGGAGGAGCTGAACTGGAGCCAAGAGAATAGTGCTTACAAACAGAAGCAGAATGTACTAGGGTTTTATTTCCTGATAGAGATAATTGCATATTATTGCCTCCATCGCCTGGCGAATTTAACCTGACCTTTGCCCCTCTCAAAGCTATTCCACCTGCAGGCGGGATGGAACGGAATGCAAAAGCGCTTGACACGCCCTTCCCCCAATCCTCCCCCCAGTTGCGCAGCAACACTATTACTTCGAAACGGGGCTGCCCCCTACCTAACTCTCAAGTAGGTCCACCTGCTCAACTTCTTGCGCTGCTGCCATTTTCCCTTCTCTGCAAGCCTAACCTGGCCAAGCCGGCGCTCCTTCCCTTAAACCTCTCGGCGCTTACGTAACCCGCGCCACAGACATCAGATTAAGCAAAAGTGGAATTTCGACGCGTTTCTTGCACAAGCACCGCATCCCGAACGAATCGCGCGGCGCCGTATTCGCCACCTTCCCTCGTCCCCTTACCCTCTCCTATCTCAGCGTCACCTTGGAACCCGGCGCAGACACGTTCACACGACCATATCCCCGCCGTCGCGCTGCAGCCGGCGATACGCCTGCCCCCGCGGCCTACGACCCACCGCCCGCACCGTAAGCAGCGGACCCCGCCCCCAAATCACCTCCACAAGGGCGACCGCGCGCTCCCCCCACACAAACACGCAACCTCGCTCCGCTGTAACGCGGACCAACGGACGGCCCCGCCCCCGCCCCCCCCCGCGAGTGTCACTGTGACGGAGGATACCGAGAGCAAGTAACTTTACCCCCTTACGCGCAACACGGCCGGGAAGGGAGTTCGCCGCGGACGCGGGGAAGACTAGGCCCCTCACCTATCAGGGACGCTGGAGGCTTCAACAACACAGAGGCGCGGCCGCCATTACCGCCTCAAGAGCCCGGCCCCCTTCGCGCGCGTCACTTCCGGCCTCAGCGCGTGCGAGCGCCTCTCGCGCTCTCCTCACACGTGACAGCCTCGAATCCAAGTGCGCACCTGCCGCGTCATCCTTTTAGTCTGTCTGGCTGATAGCTAGTTCTCACAGCCCAGTCTTGTCTCCTGAGCGGATTCAGGAAGACCAGTTAGCTCATACTGTAGATGAGTTGTAGAATTGGAAGGGATCCCCAAGGATCATCTATTCCACACCAGTGATGGCGAACCTTTTAGAGACCCAGTGCCCAAACTGCAACCCAAAATCCACTTATTTATCGCAAAGTGCCAACACGGCAATTTAACCTGAATACTGAGGTTTTAGTTTAGAAAAAACGACTCCTACATTAACAGCTTTTGTCCTAAAAGAAAAACACAATAGCAGAGCTTTCAATGATACAAACAACTTTTAATTGAAAGGCAAAAGTTTGCATTATCCTTGTTTGGGAAATCATGAAAAAGGGAATTACAGTGGTACCTCGGGTTAAGTACTTAATTCGTTCCAGGTGTCTGTTCTTAACCTGAAACTGTTCTTAACCTGAAGCAGCACTTTAGCTAATGGGGCCTCCCGCTGCCGCCGCGCCACCAGAGCACAATTTCTGTTCTCATCCTGAAGCAAAGTTCTTAACCCGAGGTACTATTTCTGGGTTAGCGGAGTCTGTAACCTGAAGCGTATGTAACCCGAGGTACCACTGTACTGTCAGACAACATGACCGTTTTGATAATTTCCCTTCAAGAAACTCTTCTTTAGGAGATTTCAAAGTAGAAGCTGAATGGCCATCTGCCATGGATGCTGTAGTTGAGATCCCTGCATCTTAGACTTAGATGGACTTAGATGACCCTCGGGTTCCCTTCCAACCTCCCACAAGCCTCTGATTCGATGGCTGGCCCACCGGGATTCACTTCTAAAGATCACTCGTGCGGGAGGGAGCAAAATGGCGCCAGGCTTACTGGCAGTTCTGCACCGAGCTGCTTTAAGACAGCGGAATGGAGCGTTCATAATTCTGCTGCAGCCCACGGGCAGCAAACTGGCTACTCATGCACGGCTTTACTCGGTGCTCACACTGCCCCTATAAACTCATGCCCCTACAAACTCTGTGCTGGGGCGACGGGACGCGTGCCCACAGAGAGGGTTCTGAGTGCTGTTCACCACCCCAATCTAGTCCAGCCCCTGCTGCTATGCAAGAATTTCAACACTGGACCAGACTCTGCAAGTGCACGCCCTCCAACATTTCTCTGTTGAAAATAAGGATGCCCTATTCTATAACAACAACAACAACAACAACAACAACAACAACAACAACAATATTTATACCCCACTGGGTTGCCTAACCACTCTGGGCAGCTTCCAACATATAGCAAACACATAATAAAACATTTCAACATCTGCCTTCAGGTATCTTCGAAAGGTTGTATAGTGACTTATCTCCTTGGCTTGGGGGCTGCATTACCCTCCAACATTTCTCTGATGAAAATTGGGGCGTCCTAAGGAAAAGCGGGACATTTCCAAGATCAAATCAGAAATGGGGATGGCGTCTGTAAATCCAGGGCTGTTTCTGGAAAATAAGGACACTTGGAGGGTGTGTAAGCATGCTAGCCATTACTGCGGAGGCTGCAATCCTGGGCTTACAGAACCATCCTGAGGGGGATGGTTCTGGGGGCCATATCAGGCTCACAGGGTTGGAAGCGAGCTCTTCAGTATACGTGAAGAAGTGTCTCCACTCCCATCATTCAGCCAGGACACTGAGGTCCAGCTCTGAGGGCCTTCTGGCGGTTCCCTCATTGCGAGAAGTGAGATTACAGGGAACCAGGCAGAGGGCCTTCTCGGTAGTGGCACCCGCCCTGTGGAACGCCCTCCCACCAGATGTCAAGGAAATAAACAACTATCTGACTTTTAGAATATAATTGAAAGCAGACCTTTTTAGGGAAGTTTTTAATGTTTGATGTATTTATTGTGGTTTGAATATTTTATTGGGAGCCGCCCAGAGTTGCTGGGGAAACCCAGCCAGATGGGTGAGGTATGTTTATTTATTTATTTATTTAGAGTCTGTCAGGCCAGTGGCAGACCTTGGGGGTCTCAAATTTCAACAGCACCCTGTACTTTGAGACAACCCTATGGGCTGCGCTACCTAACTCCAAGTAGGTCCACGTGCTCAACTTCTTCGCTTCCTGCACTGTAATTTCCCCTCTCTACAGGCTAGCCTCACCAAGTCACGCCTCTTTCATTCAACAAGGGGGCAAAGTAGGACTTGTGAGGGATGTGGCTGCAGAGAAGGTGTAACCTGGGGAGAGTGCCAAGAGCTAAACAGAGATGCCTGAAGAGCCAGATTTGGCCCTTGGACGTAAGGTGCCCCACCCCTCTACTATAGATACTAAGGATATTGGCAGTCTTTGAGTTGCTGATATGGTGCTTGAGCCTTTTCCATAACCTTTCTTATTCTTTATTTTCACTAGCTTTTAAGGGCCAGTGTGTGAAAACGTATGCGAAACAAATTTATTTTGCCACAGAGAGTGTTGTTTAGTTTGGGATGTGTATTTTTCTGAAGGATTTTGTTAATGACTTCTTTATGGTTCCCAGCTCTTCATCAACAGACAGCACCTGTTGGTTTAACATCCTCAAAGCAGTGAAATGGAATTCAGAAAATGGTGAGGCAGAACGAGAGATCTGCTTGTTAACATTGGAGGAGACAGGCAGGAAAATTGACTGTGACAGCAGACCAGGTAGAAACGTAGGAGGATGGGAGTCATTACTCTGAATAATCATTCATTATCCTGGAATTGGTAAAACAACAGATCAGAGCCAACTCCCAGGGCAAGTATAACAGGACTTTTTAAAATCCAGATAACTTAAAACCAAATACTATTGTCGTGGTTTAGTTTCAGTAATGTTTTTTTCTAACTCCATTGGATCAAACAAGCCCAAAGATACAGACATGTCGCGGGGAACCTTCTGATGCAAAACAATGTGTGACACTCTTCTGTTTTTCTGTAGCTAGCTGTAATCATGCAATTCCATTCCGTATGGCTGGTATTCATTACTAGTCCTACCCACTGAAGTTAATGGTTAAGAGTAACAGGTTTATTAATTTCAATGGGTCTGCTCTGGTTAGGACTTGGAGCTCATCCAGACTCCCGATTGTCCTGTGCTTAGAAAGGATGTGTTATGTATTGAAGTTCTCGCCATGGCCACCAGGAGTATTGTGTATGTAGTTTTCACTCAGGTCCGTGTCAGTTACTTTAGGCGGGAAACCCTGGGTTGTTGTTGCTACAATGTTGACAGCCGGCTGCCTATAAAAGCAGGCCGGCTGAGCTGTTTGCTGTTCAGTTCTGTTCCAGCTTACAAATAAAGAGCTGCTTTGGAGAAATCGCTGTGTCGTCTGATATGTTCGCCCACAACTTAACAGGATGAGTCCAAGTGGTTTTCCACTTGTCCTTCACTTTCTAAGCATGGATCCAAGAGGTTTTGGCCCTTGTACCCACCACTTTTCCTGGAAAACCCACTCTTTAGCAATCCGGAGAATGTTCAGTAGTAAAGATCAGGTGTCCATGGGGGAAACTGGCAGGACTATGAGCCCTTACCTGAATACCACCCTATGTCTGCATATTGTGAAGCAACCGGAAAAACTCTATGAGAATACAATTTCCGATGCTAAAAACATACAGTGAAATGATGATACTATGCAATGGTACCAATGCAGAGTGGCACAAGTTGATTTAAATGTTTCATTAACGACGCAGCTGGACTTTTCGTCTGAAAGAGCCTGAGGCTACTATGAAATGCAAAAGGTATGTACCAGTCATTGCTTAAATGGGAGCTCATTCTAGTGCTGGCGTATGATGTACACAGTACTTTATAAAATAATCTACCGGAAAATTATTACATCACTCTTCGCCTACCTTTTTCTGTTATAAATGATATTCCTGTTATACTTAATTTGGCAGTGTTTGACTCCTAGGCACTCAAACTAATCATGTCACGCATACTTTGAGAGACACGGACGGCATCCCTTTGGACTATATTAGAAATAACTTGTTGGTCGTGTTGCCCATTCAGGAGAAAATCCTGTGTGTATTTTGGATTTCTTTGCCAGCTCTTAATTGGAATTGATGAACTAAAACTATTCAAGGGTTGCCAGGTTATTTAAATCGGTACTAGTGAGACTGATGAAAGTTGTGACTTTTCCCATAAGGGGATAGGTGAGAGCAGACACGTTAATTGTGTATATGAGTGTGTGCGGCAGGGTGGAAAGAGAGAAAAGAAAGGACTGGATTCTAAGGTGTGAAATTTGGCAGCTTTGCACTGTACAATGGGCATAAGAAACCACATTTTTCTGTCCATGAGCACATCTGACTTGCTGTTATTTCACAGTTGGATGACTGTATTGTTAAAGTAATGGAATGTTTTTTAATAAATGCAAATCATGAATTAAGTGCTTGAACTGGCTACAGTTGCGCTCTCTGGTGTGTAATTAATGTGTGTGTGTTGGAGACCCATGTCTGCGGGAGTGTTTCATTTATTATTTATAGCACACATTTTCCCTTTTTCTTTTTTACTTCTAGCACACCTTCTTGCATACACAGAAACAGCATCCTATACCTGCAGTGTTGACGGTGAAACCCTGCTAACAGATAAGGCTTTAGCCATTGCTACCTCAAATTGCTACCTCCTGCCAACCTAGCAGTTCGAAAGCATGTCAAAGTGCAAGTAGATAAATAGGTACCGCTCCGGCGGGAAGGTAAACTGTGTTTCCGTGCACTGCTCTGGTTCGCTAGAAGCGGCTTAGTCATCCTGGCCACATGACCCGGAAGCTGTTCCCTTGGCCAGTAAAGCGAGATGAGCGCCGCAACCCCAGAGTCAGTCATGACTGGACCTAATAGTCAGGGGTCACTTTACCTTTACCTCAAATTGCTATCTGTTAATTCAGTGTTTAATGAGGAAATTTCCCAGTCCAGATAACTGTTGGGCTCCAGATACAGCCATGTTCATGGACTCATGACTTCAGCATTTTGTAGTTGCTGTTGGCATC